GATGGTATATGGGAATCCACCCACGTTTTTATAGTCAAAATGATACATTGGGTCCCCCAATAGATGCACATAACTAAAAGCAAAGTCCACCTTGCACATGGTGCCTCTGATTAGCAGTCACACATTCATTCATTATCACAACAAAGTTACACAAACGCTAATGCATTTGAGAGTCACCAGTTTACTATATTTTCAATTGTAGGACAACATTGAAACAGAAGTCAAAATTATTCTGATTTTCCTAGCTTTAAAAAATTTTAATTAAAAATTAAATTTTTTTAAAAGCCAACCACTTGCTTGGTTAACAGCCAGAGGACCAATGACATTCCAATTTACATATAGTTTACAGTGAAATATAATACTTTCTAGCATTTCTTGCTAAATGCCTCTGACCTGTGATTCTGATTTTACCAGGGGAGTATTGGCTTATTTATTTAAATATGCTCATGAAAGCCTGACAGTTTGTTTGTGTGTGTGTGCGTGTGTGTGTGTGTGGGGGGGGGGGGGCATGCATTATGATTGTGTGTGTGAGTGTGTGTGAGCTCTCTGATAGGCTGGAAATCCCCCTTCGCAAATTCCCTGCCTTGGGCTCTGTCCTTCCTGGGTCAGGATCTAGGGCTCCCCGCAACCTTGTATTGGATAAGTGGGTGCAAATTGGACAAATGAGATATGCTGCATGCTGGTGAAAAGATGATTTGTTAATCTCAAATGTGCGGGGATTTATCTGGAGAGTATTTGATATTCAAGGAGAAGGTATGCAGTATGTGATACATGGATGCAGAAGCACCACAGGCAGAATGCGTGTGAAGACAAGGCGCACGGTTCTGCCAGGCACCAGCTAAGAGGAGCTGAATATAACTGACAGCGAAACTGCAGTCTGAATGAGAGAGTGATCACTCTTAATGGCTGAGCTGCACAGAAACACCTTGTCCAATGCAAAGCTGTCACTTTTAAAGTTACTAAAGTGTTTAAGTGTATGCAGTTTGTCTGGGGACTGAAGCAGTCCTCAGGTCCTTCATACATTTCTGACAAGAATGTCACAGTTATTCAGGAGACTGAGAACATATGAACATGAAGTAATACGCAGATCTGCCTAAACAGGCTCTGGTGGACAGGGGCGTGGTTCTACTCAGAGATCAGACATGTGGATGGTATCTGCCACAGATGCTGGACAGACAGTGACAGCTTCCAGGCATTCACTGCATGCAGAGCCCAGACTGTCAGTGGACATCCTCTGAATCTGCTCAGAAGCCCTGCCTTTGATCATGACAGATGCCTGGGAATTTGATTTTTGCATACTTCTTGTCATCACTATTTGAACATAGGTTGTATAGGTTGTACAGGTTTGTTACCTAGTCATGTAAGTTGTTTGCATAAACCCAAAGACTCTAAGCATCAAAATAGCAAAAATAACTATCAGATGCAAAAATCTGACATTTGCTACCCTATTCTCTCTGGCTCTCCTGAGCTCTGGGAAGAGTAAAAATCTTTATCCTTAAATTTACTAGGCCGACCTACAGCGGCCAGTGCGTACTTCAAAATGTTATCTATCTCCAGTGTTTATTTGAAACCAAGCATGAAATGCTTCACAAAAGCTGTGAAATAAACACACAATATATCAGCGCTTGTCTTCGCCATATTAAGACCTCAGTCATCAAGGAAGCAGTTCTTCAGGGTGAAGTGAAATTTGATGGCGAAAGCGGTAATCACAGTGCTGAGCAAACAGTTTTAAAATATAAGGAAAGTACTCCTGCTGACCATAACTGAAAAATAAGAATCAAAGTTGAAATTCAGTTTCATGGTTCAACCATGTAAAAGCATGTGAGTGACATAAATAGGTAAGAGTAAGGTAATTGCTAAGGGCATTAGGTAAGGAATTATGAAATACACACAAACCTGCAGCAGACAATGTCACTAGCTATAACAGATATAGGTACGTTAAACAAACAGAGTAATATCCCAGCAATCATTAATAAGATGTAGCAATGTAGCAGTTCTCATATGCTACATAGTTTTCATTTTCATTGACAAATGTGTTTTTTCCTCCCATGTCATGAGCCTGTCACGTGCATCTCGTCCCAGTCATATAGCCAGCACAGTTGGGAGGGTTAAACATAGACTCTCTGCTCTACTGTCGGCATTTTTCTTAAGATGAAAATTGTATTTAATTATGCAATTGGGCAGTCAGTTACACCAACGACGTAGCTTAGCATCTATCAGGGTTTCTGTGCCAAATATTGCCTTGGTGTCATGCAGTAGGTTACAGGGTGTGTGTGTGTGTGTGTGTGGGGGGGGTGACATGGCAGTGTCACGTCAAGCACAATGTGACAAATAGAGTGGAAGAAAGCGACAAGGTGTCCAGGCCCCTCTCTCCAAATGCGGGCCTCACCCTGAGTGCAAAGGCTGCCAAAACAAAGAAAATTAACAGCAGTGTGAAATTTAGCAGTTTCATTTTTCATTAAGCATGTAATTTATTCCATCCACAAAATGGAAACATAACCCATAATTCAGCATAAACATCTGTGATGTTTCTTTTTTTGTATGAGAACAGATAGGGCAATGAATACCACTCCACACAGAGGGATTACAACTGTGACCTTTTCCCAAAGCACGCATTAATATGTTTCTTGTAACTGAATGCTACGTTTTCTTTATAACGTTATAGATCAGAGTGAGCGGTTAAGGACAAGCTGACAGACTTTCAAAAGCACAAATGGGCACTGGGCCCTGGTGTGATATCCTGGGCAATAAACAAAAGAGCGGTTAAGGCTGAGAGTGAGGCTCTCACCGCCCCTCCCCAGCACCAGGAAGAGAACAGGAGAGAGAAAAACAGTGAAAGGCCGTGTAGGAGCATAATACTAGCAAACAGCCTTTCGTAACAAACACAAAACACAATTATCAATTACAGAGAGATGCCATTCTGCTTTTGCCAAAACTTATATAATGATCTATTTATTGCACAATGTAGACCTTGTTGTGTTGGACCTGGAGGACGGAGGGTGCAATAGGGGGCATGTTATGTAGCTCTTTTGCCTATAGGGAAACCGAGGAGAATGTATCAGTAGGGGAATGTGTCTGGGTGCTATGTATGCCACAAGACTCTGCATAGCATGGCCCCTTTACTGTCACTGTAAAAGAACACTCAGGTTCACTTACACTGCGTACAGCAAAAGGTGTATTTTATATGTTATACTTTTTCTGTCTTGACGCATGCTCACACTTACACAAAGACACAGAGAAATGCACATAAACACAGGGGGAACGCCAACATCGTGTCCTACCATTCTCTGTCTTACCGTAACACTGCGCAGACCGTCTGGGAGAGTCTTGATGTTTATACAGCAAATTGACTGCTTACCACACTCTAAACGCTCAGGATGCGATAATATAGACAAACAGAGGCTGCTAATGACAAAAGAATGAACCTCTGCATGGCCGGCGGACAGGAGGAGGGGCGGGAAGGCGCGAGCCAAGCTTTTGCCGTGTCTTGATAGTATGGTTGGTGGTGGCTTGTTATGATTCTGTGCAGTAAAACACAAACGTTTGTGTTTTACACGCGTGGAGGCATGGCACTCCAGTGAGGTTTTACAGCTCGACTGCAGCCCTGCAGGCCATCCTTTCCTCATTATTTCCTGAGATGTGCATCACAGGGTTTGTGACATTTCCTTTACAGTATAAAAATTACAAGAAGTGTAGTAAATAAAGGAAGGAGGGACAGGCTGTGAGCTAACTGCTTTGTAAAATACACGGGATACCTTACAGCTGGTTCCATTGTGAGGGTAAACACACGTGGCCCATGACAGGATGTCCCATCTGTCTGGGCCTACGGCCGTGCCGCTTTCTTTAGTCATGCTCATCTGCGTGTATGTATAACACTGAGGCAGAGAAGTGCCATGATGATTATGAGTGGTAGTAAGGCTGCGGTTGGTATTAAAGCAGCATGAAATTGCCAGTGAGACTCACTACAGATAAGCAAGATTCTGCCCATACAGAAAAGGTGGGAGGAGAACACAAGGGCAGCGAACCTCTAAATGAAAAGGTCAAGAAGCCGAGCACTACACAAGGTCTGCACGCCAAAAACAAGGTGTGCTCACCCGAACACTGCCAAACTGATGGCTTTTATGCACATAAAGTACCATCTGCTTAAATATATACCCTTTCCCTCACAGATTTGTGCCCTGGAGCAGTGGTCACAAACTGTGGGAATGTGTCTTAATGAATGTCTTTATTCTTTGGGGTTTAACACTGTCCAGTCATGATCACTCAGGAATGTTAAAGGGAAAATGCGCTCCTTTGCAGAGTACAGTACATAATAAGAGTGTAAACAAGGTGGTAGCAGAAGCATAAAGCCGTGTGCAGCAGCGTGTATCTGCTGCTCCACTCTAGGGTTTTAATGGGATCGAAGGATGTTAGCACACATATCTGGAATTCAATGACATCAGGCTGGGTGCATCACACTCATGTTCATTTCTTTCGGCACGGATAGTTAATGATCTTGTAAAACACACATACACTTCGTTAAGGCAGAAGAGATTAGGGGGAGAGTGCAACTAAAAAGACGAAAAGGGGATCTGCACGGCTCAAAGTGCTTATTTCCACAGAAACTAGAGGACTGGTGAGACGGATACAGATGTGGGGGTGGGGGTGGGGGTGGCGGGGTGGTGGGGTGGATGACTATGGGCAAGTAGAGATGCTGAAGTGGCTCTGAAGGAGGGAGGTGAGAGGAGGGTTTTAGTGTGTGTAGATTCAAACCTGGGCTGCCCACTGTAATATAAAGGTACAGCTACCAGCTGTCTGAGAAAGAAAGATCCCCAATATTCCAAGTAGTCACCAGCAAAACAGCAGCCAAAAGAATGGGGGTATGATCTGCCAGCTCTGTATTCATGACTGTTTTTGGCACTGGGTGGCAGCTCCTTCCAGAAGGGACCCCTCCATAGACAATCTTAGTCACACGAGAAATTCCTCTTTTCCTCCTTTCTTTTTTTCCCGCCACTCCACAGCAGATCATGGGATGCCGTCAGAGCTCGGAGGAGAAGGAGGCGGCCCGGCGCTCCCGTCGCATCGACCGGCACCTGCGTTCGGAGAGCCAGCGGCAGCGTCGTGAGATCAAGCTGCTCCTGTTGGGCACCAGCAACTCGGGCAAGAGCACCATCGTCAAGCAGATGAAGATCATCCACAGCGGGGGCTTCAACTTGGAGGCCTGCAAGGAGTACAAGCCACTCATCCTCTACAATGCTATCGACTCGCTGACGCGCATCATCCGCGCCATGACCACGCTGAAGATTGACTTCCACAACCCAGACAGAGCCTATGACGCCGTCCAGCTGTTCGCCTTGACAGGACCGGCCGAGAGCAAAGGCGAGATCACACCGGACCTGCTGGGCGTCATGAAGCGGCTCTGGGCGGACTCTGGTGTTCAGGAGTGCTTCTGCCGCTCTAATGAGTACCACTTGGAGGATAATGCCCCTTACTATCTCAATGACCTGGACCGCATCTCTGCCGTGCAGTACATACCCACGGTGGAAGACATCCTGCGCTCCCGCGATATGACCACCGGTATTGTGGAGAATAAGTTCACCTTCAAGGAGCTGACATTCAAGATGGTTGATGTTGGGGGGCAGCGCTCAGAAAGAAAGAAGTGGATTCACTGCTTTGAGGGGGTGACGGCCATCATTTTCTGTGTGGAGCTCAGTGGCTATGACCTCAGGCTCTACGAGGACAACCAAACGGTAAGAATCAACCCAGTATGACTAACTCCTGCATCACCATGAACCCATTCTGGGACTTAACAACTCAAAAACAGATACTACATAGTCACCTCCTAGAGCAAATAGTCTATGTCTAACATACTGAAAAATTCACCACCAAACCCCTGCAGCCAAATATAATATATGTTTATTGCCATCAGCCTGTTTGTCGCCTGTTTCAACTGAACACTTTGCAAATTAAATTATTTTTCATTGATCAAAGCATTTCAATAAGGCAGATTTGTTGTCAGAAGTTGACCAGGGCTCGAGCCGACTTGGATCCAGTATTCATCATTTATTCCTCGGAAAAACAAAAACAAAAAAAAACTTGATGCCTATTGCTTCTACTACTCACTGGAAGCTAAATAATTTGATCAGTCTAGGGAAATGAAAATATGATCTGCTTATACAACATGATTCAGAAAATCATCTTGCAAAGAGGAGGGTCCAAGTTGCTCAGGTTTTCACAGTTGTCAGCTGCATTTATGAGTGCATTGCTTGGACGTGCAGGGTTTAGACAGGGCAGATACACACAAAAAGAGACAGTGATGGAACGCGTTACCGACAGAGAGTGACTAGTTTAGCTCATCATCATGTCCTTGAATTGTGGCCATTACAATGGCACAGCAGAAATGACTAATCAGCAGCACATTGGCACAGATGATAATGTATTAATCTTAATGTGCTAATCCTACAAACAACACAGTAAAAAAGAGTAGGGTGACTTATTAAGCACAAGCACAAAAAAAAGCACAAGATTAGCGGACTGCACAGTGCCTTGTTTTGAAAGTATGAGAGAGTGTGAGAGACACAAGAGAAAAGCCAGAGTATAGGACTACAGGCAGAGTATAATTTGGGAGATGACAGTTATGGCAGAGTTGTTATATCGCTAAAGCTGCGGTGGATATTCACTGTGAACTCTGAGGTTTTCTTGAGTCTTTGGCATCTGATGGACCGTTGAAACACCCATCACTGTTCAAAGCCTACAGTCCCAGCTGTGATGCTTCTCTCCTCAGGCAGAACATGCTGCTGACCAGCAAACTGCACCATATCTGTAATCTGAGATGACATCTTTTGACTGAATGCCAGTAAAATCAAAAAGCACTGAAACACTATGAAATCAGCTGCTCCGTACTCTCAGTCAGTTTTGCAGCATTTTATAAAAAGTATCCCACCTTCATTATATAAAGCACAACATAAAATACAACAACAGCTACAACAGATCCAGTTAAGTGTCAGAGTTATTTTGTAATTTGTTATTGAAAACTTGTGCTTGTCAGTTTGTGTATGCGCGTGCTGTGGTGCATTTTCCTGTGGCCAGTTTTGTTACTGTGTGAGTCATTATAATGTTGGCGTGAAGCAGATATGAAGGCCAAGTGCCATTACATTCTATATCGTATTGTTAAGGATGATGACAATACCAAACATAAACACTAGATGTAGAAGGTTTACAAGGATGCTGCTAGGTGTGTGTGTGTGTGTGTGTGTATGTGGGGGGGCTATGAGATTACACAGCAGGCATGGGCTGAAGATGTAACATCACAAGTGGCTGTAGACTGTTTCGAATAACGGAAAGGAGCAGACTAAGCTACAATCCAGTTTATATTCTGCTGGACATGGTGTGGGTTATACAGAAAGGTGAGACTAGGATAAATAAATCAGGAAACCTCCAAGTATTACCTGTGGTTCAAGATCATTTCTGATAAAAAAATTTAAAATGACTGCTTGAGAGGAACAATATTAGACTTTGATTTGAATTTTAGTTTCTTGCATTATAATCTATCATATTCTTTTTCTTCATAAGGTTAATATGTAAAGAAAAAAATCATATAAACACATATTTTGTAGTTAAAAAAAATTCAATAAAACGAATAATTTTCACTATTTTTTTGTTTCAACTAATTTCCTTTTTGTTTTCCATTCCATAGTTATCTTCCCACCCATTAAAAAAATAGAGATGTTACCATGGAGACAGTTGCTGAGCAACGGCCTGATCACATGCTCCTAATCCTGGCCCTCTGACAGTAAACTGTGACTGAGGAGGGGGAGCGGGATGCAGCACACAGCAGCTCAGAGATTGGGGAATAGAGCACTCTTATAGCTAGATGACAGCCCCGTTGCACTGAATGCTCAATAGATTGGGTGAACCATGTGCATCGGAGCAGAGGGTATATATATAATTACATACAAGCTTTATTCATGCATAAGCGTTCATCTAGAGACTAGGTACTGGTGTTACAGTTGTAGGCATGATCCAAGGTGCCAAGTGAGAAAGAACAGCAGAGGCAGCAATTCAGAAGCAGCAATATAAACCAGTTTCTGTGTTTCACACAACTGCATTTGACTAGTACTCAATATTAAGTATTATCCAGCTTAACAAAGTGGGCCCCAATGTGTGGCAAACACAGCAGTTAGTCAGTTTAGGCAAATAACTGTACCATTTATCCACAGGCAGAAGGTAATTTCCTGATGTTTTAGCAACAATAATGATCAGAGCAAGCTTACAGTTATGCCCAAGCTGTTTGTGATTTATCTGATGTTGGTATTTAACTCCGTTAGCTTCCTTTGTGAAATATATCAGAACATCAAAACAGGTGCAACTGCAGTTGTTGCATCAAAGCGTCAAAATTTATAATACCATATGTACATGATGTACAACAAGTCGATGAGAGTTAAGACATTTAATGTCTACATTAAAACATTAGCATTGTTATGTGACATAATATCATAAATATTATAATTAAGTTACATATAATTACAGTATTTATTTATACAAATCCTCTCACTGAAATATGAATATCCAAAACAAAATGTATATGTTAACCACCACAGATAATATCCTGCCAGTGATTAATCTCTGTTCTGTCCTACTATGTCAGGAGTTTTTGTTTAATAGACAGATAATTTTAAGGTTGTTGATTGTTATTACTTTAAATAAATTGGAGTGGTGAAGTAGAAAGAATGTGGCCTAAACCTTCACTAAAACTGAGAATTTCATTTCTATTGGTATTCTGTATGGTCACTGTGACATCGACATGAGATCATCTGTGTTTTGAGACATTGTCTGAAGCATTATCAGTTGGTATCATTTGTTAAATCTGATGCTATTAAAGACCTTTTTGATTGTAATGTTTTCTGTTTTATAATGGTAATCTGTTAGACAATCAATCAAAATTGCTTGTTAAAGTTTTAGCATTTGGGTGGCATGAAGGTGCAGTGGTTATCATTTTACCGTTGGAATGTATCGAGTTTGCTTTTCCCAAAGTTTGCAATAGTGTGTGTGACTGTGTGCCCTGTAATATACTGGCATCCCATATCGGGTGTCCCTTGGCTCGGTCTTGTCTCCTGAGATAGGCTGTAGGCCAGTGGTCACCAACTCCAGCCCACAAATGGAATGAAACACAACTGAATCCGCAGGTACACAGGCAAAATAGCAAAGTTACTCTGGAAAATGCAGTTTGCAGTGTAGCATAACATGATTTGATCGAATCATCTTGACAATTTAGCAAACAACAGATATGGTAACCTTACAAATAGCCTTTCTATATACAGCGAAGGAGTCACCTATATCATTACCGTCTATACTTTGGCAAAAAAGATATGAACAATGAAGCAATGAAAATACTTATTACTGGATGATGTTACAAGTTCAGATATTCATTGTGCCAACAGCACAAGACCAAAAACAGATTAAATCATAAGGAAATGAGATTATCATACACATACCAATGCTGTGGGGTGCAGTGCTGAGCAGAAACATACGCATCATTGAATAAGGCCTGCATACTACACAGCACATTTATTTAAGCTAGCAAGATGACATTTAAAATCTTCATTTTTTTGAAGTATAAGATCCCAAGCATCATAATGGGGAAGCTGGAGTACAGCCTGGTTTTCGGGCAGATGTCCCGTGAGTGAGTTAATGAGCTTAAGGTGGAACATGGTATTAGCCATGGCTGCCATGGTGGTTCTTCTAAAATGAACATGGCATGGCCTGGCTAAATTTATTGAGGGTTAGGGTTATGGGGTTTAACTAGTTCAGATATGTCTAAGCAATTTTCTAAAAAAAAAAAAATCATTCAGTTTGTGTGCAAAACTTTGCTTTCAGGGGATATTTTCACACAGGGTTCCTTTCTCTGCAAAGCGGTACAGTTTTGAGAGGTGAAAATTGGATGCCAAACAGCTGTATAAGATGGTTTCACCTCAGCTGAAAACAAAGAGAGCTTCCATTCTCCCTGAACTCTGCCGGTGCTACCCGAACTCTCTAAGAAAATAGATAATACTTTTCTGCAGACCTCCCCATCTATCCAGCAGAAACCACAAGCTGGAAATGAAAGCTATTTATCCTGCACTGTTTCTGAAGTCTGAAGGGGCACCTAGCAGGTGTCCAAAAATAAAGAATATTTACAATGATGTAGGTGGACAGTTCCTGTATTGTTCTGTAGGGACTCATGAACGTGTTATCAGTAAAACCCGTTTAACGGGTTTGGTATTCTGGTCTTTCAATCTAAGCAAATCCTGTCACACCTCACACACAAATGTTTTTCCCAGTCACGGTATTTCCTGTATTCCAAGGATTCTCCTTGCCAAACTGGGTAGGAAATGCCAATCAGAAACCCTGAACAGTGGATTTGGCCTTCAGCAAACTAAGCATGGGAGGAAATGCTGTAAAATAAAAATAGATAGAAAGGGTTACCCGGAAGGTCAAATAGGAAATGTTACATGTCTTTAATCAAGGGCTGGCATTTCAACTTAACATGGCCAAAAACTGGCTTTTGGAGTTTGGAACAGAGTGTCTCCTCTTAAGTGGTTGCCTTTAAGCGAATTAAAGTGATCTGTTCTCATAAACCGCTCCTCACCACACCTCAGAGCTGTGTTAGCACTCAATTACTTCTTTGCCCTGACTGATACAGGCAGCTCTCTCACCCCATGTCACTTCATGGGCTTTTTCGCAGGCCGCTTCTTGTGCAGCTTGTTGCTTT